GTATGTGGTGCTGAGGATCGAACCCGGGCCGCACGCATGCCAGGCGAGCGCGCTACCGCTTGAGCCACATCCCCAGCCCTAAAAATGCTTTTTAAAAAGATGTTATCCACAAAGAATAATCTAAAATCAAATTTAGAGAATTAAAATGAGCACCAGGTTCCTACTACCAGTTCATTGAAAAATAATTCACAAATCTTACACTTCAAAATGGAGGAACTGTGATTGGGCAAAGGGGAGGGAGAAGTGGGGAGGGGGACAGGGGTTAGTGGGGAGGGGGCAGGAAAGATGGTGGAATGAGATTGACATCATCCTTTTCAAGTGTACAGTGAGTTGATTTTTAGTATATTCATAGACATGTGTAACTATCCCCAGAATCAGTTTAGAATATTTTTTGTTTGGTTCACTTCCTAAGGAAACCTATACCACTAACAGTCCCTTCCCATTTTCCCCAACCCTACCAGCCCAAGGTAGCCACATTAAAATACTTTATGTCATTATGGATTTCCTTATGCTGGACATTTATGTAGAATCATAAAAAGTATGGACTTTTGTGTCTGTCTTCTTTCACTTAGCATGTTTCCAAGGTTCATTCACATTGTAGTATGAATCAGTACTTCAGTTTTAAATCAATAAATACTATTCTGTTGTGTGGCTACCATATTGTTCTTCCCTCCCCTAGTAAATAATGCTGGATTGTGAATAGTGCAGTTTTGAACCTTCATGTATAAGTGTTTGTGTGGGCATGTTTTTGTTTCTCTTGGATAAACACCTAGGAGTTAAACTGGTGGATCATGTAGAAACTCTGTTTCACCTTCAGAGAAACTATCAGACTGTTTTATTTTTTGTTTGTTTCTAATCTGCTTCTTTTTACCCATGAAATGGTATACTGTGAACATGTTTCCAAAGCAGTGATTACATGGGCATCACATGTATACATCAGTTCACAATTATTTTCTTTTTAATATTTTAGACAATAAGGTTCTCATATTTAAAACACTATAGTTTTTATATATAAAACAAATGTACTTAAATTCATTAAATTATAGTGTAGAAGCAAATTTATGGACTAACAGAATGTTTCTAAAGGGGCTATATCAATTTGGTTTCCCACCAGCAGTATATGAGTGTTCCATTTTTCTCCATGCCCTCACCAACATTTGCTATTGTCAGTCTTTCTGATTATCACTCTTATTAGTGACAGTGAAGTAGGTTTCTCATTGTGGCATTGATTTGTATTTTTCTAATGACTAATTGAGAGTTTTTCATGTATTTATTAAGAATTTGTACATATTTATTTGCAAAATGTCTGTTCAGAGCCTTTACCTATTTTTATCTTATATTTTATTTTTATCTTTTAATACATATTAATGGGTATCATATGAAGTTTTAATAAATGTATGTATCATCTAATGTTTAAATCAAGTATACATATTTATTTAGTCAAAAGTTCTCTCTCTCTCTCTCTCTCTCTCTCTCGGTACTGGGATTGAACCCAGGGTGCTTTACCACTGAGCTACATCCCCAACATTTTTAATTTGAGACAGTTGAGACAGGTTCTCACTAAGTTGCTGAGGCTGGCCTTGAATTTGCAATCCTTCTGCCTCAGCCTCCTGAGTCACTGAGATTACAAGTATGCAACACCATGCCTGGCTACAGTTATCATTTCTTTATGATGAAAACCCATCAAAATCCTCTAATCCTCTAGCTTTTTAAAACGTGTTGTTGTTGTTGTTGTTGTTATTATTATTATTATTGTCGTTATCTAGAATCCCCTACTGTGCAATAGCACACCAGAACTTCTTGCTCCTATGTATAATTTTGTACCCATTGATCAGTGTTTTTCTGTCCTTCCCTTCCCTGTACTCTCTCCAGCCTCAAGTAACCACCATTCTAAGCTTCTGTGAATTCAACTGTTTAGATTCCATATATGAGTGAGATCATGTAGTACTTGTCTTTCTGTAACTAGCTTCTTTCACTTAATATAATTAACTCAAGGTCCATCCACATGGACACAAATGACATTATTTTCTTCTTTTTTAATGGTTGAATAGTATTCCATTATGTATACCATACCACATTTTTTTTTTAACCATTCATTGGTTGATGGACCATTAGATTGTTTCTATGTCTTGGACATTAATGAACAATGCTGCAACAAATATGGAAGTGCAGATGTTTCTTTGACATACTGATTTAATATCATTTGGATAAATATCCAGTATCAGGTTTGTAGGATCATATGGTAATTCTATTTCTAATTTTTTGAGGAACCTCCATACTGTTTTCTTTAATAATTGTACTAATTTCTTTTCCCTCCAACGGTGTATTAGGGTTCCCTTTTCTATACATCCTTGCCAAAAATTGTTATTTTCTGTCATTTTGATAAGAACCATTCTTATGTGATAATTCATTGACTTTTTTTTTTTTGGTACCAGGGATTTAATCCAGGGGTCTTAACCATTGAGCCACATCCCCAGTCCTTTTTAAAAATATTTGATTTTGAGACAGAGTCTTCCTAAGTTTCTTAGGGCCTCACTAACTTGTTGAAGCTGGTTTTGAACTCAGAATCTTCCTGCCTCAGCCTCCCAAGCCACTGGGATTAGAGGTGTGCACCTCCATGCCTGGCTTTGATTGTCATTTTGATTTACATTTCCTGATGATTAGTGACATTAGTATTTTTTAAATTTATTGCTCATTTGTATGTCTTCTTCTTTTTTTAAAATTTGATTTATTTATTTATTTTATTTTTTTTTAAATTGTTGGTTGTTCAAAACATTACATAGTTCTTGACATATCATATTTCACACTTTGATTCAAGTGGGTTATGAACTCCCATTATTACCCCATATACAGATTGCTGTATCACATCAGTTACACTTCCATTGATTTACA